GATGGGGACAGCAAAGGGGGAGGAACGGAGGGGGACAGCAAAGGGGAGGAACGGATGGGGGACAGCAAAGGGGGAGGAACGGAGGGGGGACAGCAAAGGGGGAGGAACGGAGGGGGACAGCAAAGGGGGAGGAACGGAGGGGGACAGCAAAGGGGAGGAACGGAGGGGGACAGCAAAGGGGAGAACGGAGGGGGACAGCAAAGGGGGAAGAACGGAGGGGGACAGCAAAGGGGGAGGAACGAGGGGGACAGCAAAGGGCGAGAACGGAGGGGGGACAGCAAAGGGGGAGGAACGGAGGGGGACAGCAAAGGGGGAGGAACGGAGGGGGGACAGCAAAGGGGGAGGAACGGAGGGGGACAGCAAAGGGGAGGAACGGAGGGGGACAGCAAAGGGGGAGGAACGGAGGGGGGACAGCAAAGGGCGAGGAACGGAGGGGGACAGCAAAGGGGGGGAGACGGATGGGGGACAGCAAAGGGGGAGGAACGGAGGGGGACAGCAAAGGGGAGGAACGGAGGGGGGACAGCAAAGGGGAGGAACGGAGGGGGGCAGCAAAGGGGGAGAAACGGATGGGGGACAGCAAAGGGGAGGAACGGAGGGGGGACAGCAAAGGGGGAGAACGGATGGGGGACAGCAAAGGGGGAGGAACAGGGGGGACAGCAAAGGGGAGGAACGGAGGGGGCAGCAAAGGGGGAGGAACGGAGGGGGACAGCAAAGGGGGAGGAACGGAGGGGGGACAGCAAAGGGGACGAACGGAGGAGGACAGCAAAGGGGGAGAAACGGATGGGGGACAGCAAAGGGGAGGAACGGAGGGGGGACAGCAAAGGGGGAGGAACGGAGGGGGGACAGCAAAGGGGAGGAACATGGGGGGACAGCAAAGGGGGAGGAACGGGGGGGACAGCAAAGGGGGAGGAACGGAGGGGGACAGCAAAGGGGAGGAACGGAGGGGGACAGCAAAGGGGGAGGAACGGAGGGGGACAGCAAAGGGGGAGGAACGGAGGGGGACAGCAAAGGGGGAGGAACGGAGGGGGACAGCAAAGGGGAGGAACGGAGGGGGACAGCAAAGGGGGAGGAACGGAGGGGGACAGCAAAGGGGGAGGAACGGTGGGGGACAGCAAAGGGGGAGGAACGGAGGGGGACAGCAAAGGGGGAGAACGGAGGGGGACAGCAAAGGGGAGGAACGGAGGGGGACAGCAAAGGGGGAGGAACGGAGGGGGACAGCAAAGGGGGAGGAACGGAGGGGGACAGCAAAGGGGGAGGAACGGAGGGGGGACAGCAAAGGGGGAGGAACGGAGGGGGACAGCAAAGGGGAGGAACGGAGGGGGACAGCAAAGGGGAGAGAACGGAGGGGGACAGCAAAGGGGGAGGAACGGAGGGGGACAGCAAAGGGGGAGGAACGAGGGGGGACGGCAAGGGGGAGGAACGGAGGGGGGACAGCAAAGGGGGAGGAACGGAGGGGGACGACTAAGTGGGAGGGGCGGAGGGGGATGAGAAAGGGGGGAACGGAGGGAGGACGACAAAGGAGGAGGAACGGAGGGGGGACGGCAAAGGGGGAGGAACGGAGGGGGACGACAAAGGGGGAGGAACGGAGGGGGGACGCAAAGGGGGAGGAACGGAGGGGGACGAAAAGGGGGAGGAACGGAGGGGGACGGCAAAGGGGGAGGAACGGAGGGGGATGACAAAGGGGAGGGGCGGAGGGGGGACAAGAAAGGGGAGAACGGAGAGGGGACGATAAAGGGGGAGGAACGGAGGGGAACAGCAAGAGGGAGGAACGAGGGGGGGACGGCCAAGGGGGAGACGGAGGGGGACAGCAAAGGGGGAGGAACGGAGGGGGACGACTAAGGGGGAGGGCGGAGTGGGGATGAGAAAAGGGGGAAACGGAGGGGGACGACAAAGGAGGAGGAACGGAGGGGGGACGGCAAAGGGGGGGAACGGAGGGGGGACGACAAAGGGGGAGGAACGGAGGGGGGACGGCAAAGAGGGAGGAACGGAGGGGGACGACAAAGGGGGAGGAACGGAGGGGGACGGCAAAGGGGGAACGGAGGGAGGACGACAAAGCGAGGAGGAACGGAGGGGGACGCAAAGGGCGGGGAACGGAGGGGGACGACAAAGGGGAGGAACAGAGGGGGGACGGCAAAGAGGGAGGAACGGAGGGGGACGACAAAGGGGGAGGAACGGAGGGGGGACGGCAAAGGGGGAGGGTCGGAGGGGGACGACAAAGGGGAGGGCGGAGGGTGGACGACGAGGGGGGAACGGAGGGGGACGACAAACGGGGAGGATGGAGGGGGACGACTGAGGGGAGGGGCGGAGTGGGGACGACAAAGGGGGAGGAGCGGAGAGGGGACGACAAGGGGGGGGGAACGGAGGGGGCACGACAAAGGGGAAGGAAAGGAGGGGTGACGGCCAAGGGGGCGAACGGAGGGGGGACGACAAAGGGGGAGGAACGGAGGTGGGACGACAAAGGGGGAGGAACGCAGGGGGGACAGCAAAGGCGGAGGAACAGAGGGGGACAGCAAAGGGGGAGGAACGGAGGGGGACAGCAAAGGGGGAGGAGCGGAGAGGGACGACAAAGGGGAGGAACGGAGGGGGGACGGCAAGGGGGGAGGTCGGAGGGGGACGACAGAGGGGGCGGCGGAGGGGACGACGAGGGGGGGGGAACGGAGGGGGACGGCAAGGAGGAGGAACGGAGGGGGACGGCCAAGGGGGAGGAACGGAAGGGGGACGACAAAGGGGAGGAGGGAGGGTGACGACTGAGGGGGAGGGGGAGGGGACGACAAAAGGGGAGGGGCGGAGAGGGACGACCAAGGGGGGAACGGAGTGGGGACGACAAAGGGGAAGGAAAGGCGGGGGGACGGCCAAGGGGGAACGGAGGGGGGACGACAAAGGGGAGGAAAGGAGGGGGACGACGAATCCTCGCCAGCGCCAGCGCCGGTGCTAGCGCCTATTCGCCAGTGCCAGTATCAGCGCCAGCGCCAGCACCAGCGCCAAATCGCTAGCGCCAGCGCCGAATCGCCAGCGCCAAAATTTCAGCGCCGAAACGCCAGTGCCAGCGCTAGCGCCAAGCGCCAGCGCCAGCGCCAGCGCCAGCGCCAAAGCGCCAGCGCCAGCGACAGCGCCAAAGCGCCAGCGCCAGCGCCAAAACGCCAGCGCCCGGCGCCAAATCGCCAGCGCCAGTGCGACCAGCGCCAGCACTAGCGCCAAATGCTTAGCGCTAGAGCCAGCGCCAGCGCCAGCGCCAGCTCTAAGGAAACGCGCCTAGCGGTTCTACACTTACCAGGTAAATAAGCTGATGGAAGCTTGAAAGTCTGGAAAGCTTGTGAGAAGGAATGTGAGGAAAGTTGAAAAGCCAGCTGAGATGAATGAATGTCTGAACGAGAAACGCACGAGGAGCAGGAAACAAAAAAACGCGTCGGGAGGAGGAAGGGAGAAACGCACAGGAACGACGAAGCAAGAAACGTAAACCCCATCCGATGCGCGTTTTGTTGTTTGTACTGTACAGAGCACGAGGTACTGTAGTCAGGTTTTTCAGGTACTGTAGTTGCCGGTTTCGACTTCAAGCTGGTACAAGCTTGTGACACCACATGCGATACTTGAGGAACCTCAGCCCGTAATGATTAGGCTTCAGAATGTTTCGTCAATAATTCATTGAACAGGAACAAGCAGGTTTCTTGCGTAGTTTCGGCTTCGTCACGTGCTTGGATGCCAAATCCAGCGTGTTACAGCCTAATGCTATAATGATGAGGCTACAGAAGAATGTCAAAATCATTATATGAATATAAGCATGATATCATTACATGTGTATAATTAAATTAATTTAATTACTATATAAATATATTCATGTCAATATAATACATACGTCAAAATTATCATTATGCGAAAACCAGTATGTGAATATCATTAGATTAATATCCATATTATATCACTATATGTGTATATTTATATTAATAATCCCTTGATGTGACCTAGACAAAGGTGAATAGCCTGTATTGTGCTCAACGCGCTCATTGTGATACGATATAAATTACATTTGTACATTTTCTCCCATCCAGACCATAAAGAATCATATATACTCTTTGTAGTATCATATATATCATTATTTAAATATAATTATTTATAATATTATTACGAGATAATTTGATTCCCAATCAAATAATTTATTCCTCACAATTTACAAAATTATGAACTTTAATATGAAATGTAAATTTAAATGTCATACCAACTGTATTATTCTTAAGATTCTACATATTGGACATCTATAGACTACGCAACCCTTCCGACGCTTGGGCGTCGAGCCTTGTTTTTTTTTTTTCGTTTGTTAATGTTTGAACAATGTCGCAGCCGATGTGCGGCCTGCAGTGGCCCAATTAGCTTATGACAGAAATGCGCGAGGTCTCAAAATTTGGAATTTTGTGTGCGCGACGTCCAACAATTTTTTGATTTGGGAATACTTTACGTAGTTTTCTCGAACTGCGCCTGGAGTTTGAGAATAATATCGCGCCAGCCACAATGATGACGAAATTGGGCTGGCGCGGGCGGGAAAACGTTCTGAAACGGTCGAGGGTTACTTCTACTGACCATCGTGGAGTTTTTTACTGTAGTTTCTGACTAACGGTGGAACCCGACTGATGAAACATGTTGCGAACTCGCTAATTCTGATTGTTTATACCGTGTCACTGACCGTACATGTTATCGAGGCCCCTAATACTGAGCGCTGATGTATTCTCCCAAAAATTAGCCCTGGTCGCCAGCTCACGAGGCACGGAGGGGTTCTTGCGGCAGTGACCACGTTGCTCATTGGAAATGGCGTCCACCAGCATGTCACCCACGCCATGCCGCCATTCGCGCCCACGCCTCCCGAGCTCCATGGCGTCCATTCGAGCGAGTTCCGCAAGATATCAATCACTTCACTACTACGACGACAACGCGATCGCTACGAGTTGTGCAACTCTGCGACCCGCTTCCTGTTCGTATCGTATTGGCTTACGACACGCGTGCTTTCGTATTCCCTTCCCGATCTACTTTGTCGTCCGAAGCCGGCACCACCACCTCGCTAGATCCCTTAGCTTCAGCCGTCTCACCGCCAGCGCTCCTGACCTGTCCATCTGTTCACTTCTCTCTTCCCTCTTTCGACTTCTTCTCCATCCACCGCTGTTTAATAGCGCTACTGCCATCAGCATCTAACCATGGCCGCCTGGCTACTAGCCGCCGCGTCCCGCGCAGCCGGTTCTGCCTGCACCCGCAGATGCGGCTCCATGGCGCTACTCCCCGCACTCGCCGCACAAGGAGGCCCGCACCGTTCCCCGCTGGAACGTTTCAGCAGCAGCCACGTGTTCGAAATTCCCCGCCGTGAAGGCGGGGCGAACCCGTGCAGGCACTACAGCCGCAGCCACAGCGCGGCGGCAGAGTACGGGCATGGCACCCGGCCCACGATCGTCTCGACCTCCTCCGACGGCCTCCGCGTCGCGACGGAAGCGTACGCGGATCCGACCGCGCCCAACACCGCGGCCGTCGGCGTGTGGGTCCACACGGGAAGCCGGTTCGAGAGCGGCGCCCCTCACGGCACGGCGTACTTCCTGGCGAATATGGTGTTCGAGGCATTGCAGAGGCGACTCGCGGAACAGTTGGGGATTGGAGGGGGGAAACATGTGAACGCGTACTGCACGCGCGAGGTCACGGCGTGTATCGCGACGGCGTATGTCGGACATCCCCGCCGCTTTGGGCATTCTAGGCGTCGTTCTGCAAGAGGCGGCGCTATTTAGCGCGGATGCTGTGGATCGCAAACGCAGCTCGATTGTGCGCAGGACTAAGGAGGCACGTGTGCTACGGAGAGTACTGTAGTAGGCTTCGCTGGTAGCGCAGGTAGCCAATATAAAGGTGGTTGTGTACAGTTGCGGCCTTGGTGTGTACCACTCTTACTAGAATGGACAGCAGGGCCTACAGGGGACAACGCAGTATGGAGTTTGATAGAGAGGCAAGGGTCTTTGATGGATTTAGGAACCTTGGAGAGGGAGTCGCTCTCATCACTGTCGGCCTGTCGCGCTTCCTACGGACCCTTGCCTGTCGTGCTTCTTGCGGACCCTTTTTACTTTTAACCGTGGTATACAAGCACTTAGAAACATCAGTGCCGCTGCAAGACCTTCGGCGTCTCGAACCTACAGTGGCTCGACCCTTTTCCTCAACCACCCCGTCCCTCTCTCTCCGCCACCCCCCCTTTCCCTCTTCCTCCCTCCCTCTTTCTCCACGCACCCACCATCCTGTCCCTGGTGTAGCGCTCAGCCACGTACTGCTGCAGGATCTGCCCCGTGATGCGCTGCGCGCTCGCGCCCGTGCCCATGGGCCAGCGTGCCAGAGGGTGCTGCGGCGCTCGATCGTTTCCTCCTCTGCGGGATTCTGCCCCTGCACACGCAAGAGACACACGGTGGGGGGAGGCGGAGGCAAGGGGAAGCAAAAATGAAGGTGAGTGAGAAGGGAAGTGGACTATGACACGGTGGTGAATATGGTGGCAACGACCTTCCCCCCCTGCCTGCCGCTGCTACCCGTTCCTGACTTGCTCGCTCAACAACAACCCTCTAAATTCACAAGTTCGTGGCAGGGTATGCTTTATCTCGTTTTTTGGGTTGCGGAGCAACCTATTGCAATCGATCGGGCTGGTTTTTTTTTCAAGTTTGTGAAATAAAAATCAAATGTTTGTTGTGATGGAAATAAAACATTTTATGTATAATAAAGTCTCATCATGAAATGCTCCGCAACCCTAAGACGATCTCGTCGCCTCTTGTTTTTTTTTTTTTTTCCAGTATTGGGGTGTTGTTGCGAGGTAACCCTTTAAAGCTCCAAGGCGGTGCTGTCGAGATGTCTCAGTTTGGTATTATTTCCACGTGTGTGCCACTCTTTCATGTCTGTCCCTTCTTCCCACGCCTCCACTCCCCCCTGGCCCCTTCGTCTTCCCATTCCCGCAACTTTTAGAAGGACACAAGACCGCTTTCACCTTTCTTCTCAACTCTTCCTCTGTCCCCTTTCTTCACCCTTTCACTCTCTCCCTTTCTTGTGCTCCACCCACTTCCTGGGCCCCTTATCTTTTTTGCTCGCCGTCCCTCCCCTACTCCCTTGCCCTCCTTTTCCTGTACCTCTCCCATCGCCGCTTTAATTCTGTAGTCATTTCAAGAAGTTTCCTCATTCTGTTTCCTCATCCACAGTGACAGCAAGCCACTCGCCCTATGGCTAACTCCAATGCAATCCTCTGACCTTAACACACCCAACACAGCCCCAACATAGAGGCGCCCGTTTTCAGCGAATTTCCCATTCCCGCTTCCTCCCGGTTCCCTCTCCCCTCCCTTTTTCCCCATTTTCCCCCTCCCCTGATCCCCCGTTCCCCCCTTCCCCCCTTCCCCTGTTTCCCCCCTCCCCTGCCGCCCGGCAGCACATAGAGGACAGCAGCAGGCGCCTGACGAGCGTGGCCATTGCGTGGGAGGGCGTGAGCTGGACGCACCCTGACGCCGTGCTGCCCGTGGTGCTGCACAGCATGCTGGGGGCGTGGCGCCAGGACGAGGACCGTCTGGGTTCCGAGTAAGGATCGAACAGGCCAGGACCTGTGTGGGAGGTAGGGGGAGGGGCGACAGGGTCGACGGACTTAGAGGAATGAAATGGCACGCCAGGAGGGCCTGTGGGTGGCAGAGAATGCGGGGGCTCTGTTGGGCACATGCCGGCCGTGCGGCGTAGTGGAGTGTGGAGTAACAGGGCTGGCTGGCTGGTTGCAGGGGCAAGACATGGACAAGGCAGGGCAGTGCTGTGTGGGTGGGATGCGTCAAGTGTGAGAGTGCTTGGGATGTGTGGGAGGTGATGAGGATGTGGCATGGCGTGGTGTGAGCAGGTCGTCCCCAGCTCACTGTGTTGGACCTGTGCTGCAGGGGAACTCACTGCAGGCTTTTCAAGGGTTGTCGCAGGCCTAATGCTTCTGTAACCTGATTGAAATGTTACCTGACTTGGGGATGCCTGCTCTCCCACCCGTGTCTCCCACCCGTGTCTCCCACTCGTGTCTACCACCAGCCGAGCCGGTTTCCACCAGCTGCGGCTGAGGCAGGCCGTGCTGGTTGTGGGGCAAAGGCGGCAATGCCCGTTGATCATCTCACCTGCCATGTCTTGAGCGCCTACGCACAGCTTGTATGGTAGTCCAATGTGACCACCTTTTCCTCTGCATGCCCCTTCCTCCAGATTCGCTTCCAAGTTGTGGAGTGGCAGCTGCTGTGAGCGCTACACGGCCTTCCACACCAGCTATACGCTACACGGGCCTCTTTGGCTTCTATGCGGAAGCCGAGGTATGGTAGGGGTGCTTGTGCAGTTCATGTGAAAGCCAGCTGCTGGGAACATGCGTCTGAAGCACAGTGAGGAGTGGGTGTTTAGTTTGTACTGTTCGTGTTGATGTGAAATGTGGTGAACAGTATCTGAGTGCGTCCCGAAACCTGAAACGAGCTCTTATGACATGAGAGTATCTTGTGTTAAGTCTAAATGACTCGCTAGCCTGTTGTCTGTCTCCACTTTCCGACCTCCTTTCAATGTGCTCACTTGCCCATTGTTGCTCCTCATGCCTCCCTGCCTGCATGCCCCCTGACATGCGTCCGCTTACCTCCGTGCTGTGAAGCCAAGTGAACAACCTGGCAGGCACCTGCCATCATGCATGGGATCATCTCCATTCACCTGATGTTGCCAGCCCATCTCCCCAATTCCATCTATCCTCATGTCTCCAATATCCACATGCACCATATCCGCATGTCCCATACTCCCTATGTCCGCGTGCAGCATGAGCAGCAGATGGATCTGTCATGGGCCATGAAGAGAGGGATCTTCTGCATCACCCTTGACATTTGCCCTACTCACGCCGACCACGCTCGCAGACGGGTTGGTATCATGCCATGGAGTGTTAGCGTGAAATCAGCGCAGTGTGAGCATGCTGTGTGCTAAGTGTGACGATGAAGCAGCATGAACTTGCGATGCGATCAATCTGCCATTGGCATGACCCTCATGTCATTGCACATCAAGCCTTTCTCATGTCTGCTCTCCCCATCTTTGTGCATCCATTGCATCGCGTTGCCTTTCTCCTCCTTGCTCTCTCGTTGTTTTATTTTATGAATGAAAGCCTTGTGTTTGTCTTTCACATCGCATATCATCCGTCTCTCTTTGGTGTCCCTTCTCTCCTTTTCCTCCTCCCACTCTTCGCGTCCTGCTCTTTACTCGTTCATATCCTGTTTTCTTTTCATGCCCTCATCCTTCCCCCCTCCAATCTTCTTTGTATCTCCGCAACTCATGTCAAAGACTTCAATACTCATGGGTTAATTGGTAACTCGTGTTTTGGCAGCGTCTCAACATCCCTTGCCTTGCCTTCGCTATTTCCATCCCGCTCCAGCTCAAGCAATCGTTAGTGCAGCACCTGGACAGCTCAACAGCGGTGGCAGATGAAATTGGGCGCCACATGTTGACATACGGTCGGCGCGTGCCCCTTGCAGAAATGATAGCCTGCATCAATGATGTGGATGCGAAGACTCTCAGTCAGCCGGCCCGCAGGCTCTTTCTCAACAAGGTAATGACTGGGGTCATGATGGGTGTGCCTGTGATTCTGTCAACTCCTGTGTGCTGTTCCAGCTGATCAAGAGAGACGAATGGGGTGCCGCCTGATACGTTAGGAAGGTCATGATGGTCTCTTGCAAGTGCTGAAATGGCAGGAATCTAATCATTCGGAGATAGTCATGATGA